TTGAAATCCAACAAAAAACTCTTCCTTCAAACCATCCTCTATTGGCTGCTTCATACGGCATCATCGGTAGTGTGTATGACAAGATGGGAGAGTACTCGAAAGCAATTTCATTTTACGAAAAAGCAATTGAAATTCGACAAAAAGCTCTTCCTTCAAATCATCCTGATTTGGCTACTACATACAACAACATTGGTTTGGTGTATGACAACATGGGACAGTATTCCAAAGCACTTTCATTTTACGAAAAAGCACTTGATATTTGGCAAAAAACTCTTCCTTCAAATCATCCTCATTTGGCTATCTCATACGGCGCCATCGGTTTAGTATATGACAGTCTAGAAAAGTACTTGAAAGCACTTTCGTTTTACGAAAAAGCACTTGAAATTCAACAAAAAGCTCTTCCTTTAAATCATCCTGAGTTGGGTACTTTATACAACAACATTGGTTCGACGTATAACAAGATGGGTGAGTGCTCGAAAGCACTTTCATTTTACGAAAAAGTACTTGATATTTGGCAAAAAAGTCTTCCTTCAAATCATCCCCATTTGGCTAGTGCATACAGCAACATCGGTAGTGTATACTACAGCATGGAAGAGTACTCGAAAGCACTTTCATCTCACGAAAAAGCACTTGAAATATTTCAAAAGACTCTTCCTTCAAATCATCCTTCATTGGCTACTTCATACAACAACATCGGTGGTGTTCATTGCGGTCAAGGTGATTATGAAATGGCTATTTGGTATTTGGAAAAAGCATTTGAAATTTGGCAAAATACTCTTCCGTCAGATCATCCCCATATAAAATGCGTGAAACAGAATATTGAAATGGTACAAAAAAATATAAAAAATATTCGATAAATAAAATAATATTTTGCTCAGTTGTGTTTGAATTAATTCCGTTTTCTAGTGCCTCACGCGCGCGTACAGAGAACAACTCTCTATATAATAAAAATGCAAAGAACAACGACTACTAATAAGATAATACGCATACATATGTATGTTTATAAATGACTCTGTCAGATATATTTACGTTTCTAATTCTTTATTAGTATTTCCTGTATTAAAAAAGGAAGAAAATATTACGTTAAATAACGGTCGTGGTATAAAACGACCTAGAAAAAATGTAACTTATACGAAATTGAAGTGTTGGTATTGAAATAGCCCTCGTGTAATGAATAAAAAATTAAAAAAGTATGATGTATATATATCGATTTGTCACCAGCATATGGTCTAATGAATCTATGATCTTTTTTTACTTCAAACTGAATTTCGACGCAAAAATAGGGTCCTTTTTTCTGAAACCTGAGGGTTTTTCGGATATTCAAAAAACGAGTCCTTTCGTTAATCGTAATAGCATAAAAGTTTTCACTTATTTGTAGTCATCATGTTCATCAATCCAATATCTTGACCATAATCCTGTTCCTCGTTGCAACCAAAATACTATTTTCTGTCTCACGCCAAACTGTCAACTTTACACCGGCAAGTCTCAGCGTCTACGTTATCATATGATGAGTTCTCTAGAATTGAAGGTCTTCAAACACATACATAGTAAATAGTATCTGTTTTTTTGAGGATGTGGATCTGTGAGTCTTCGGGTTTTTAAATTGATGTTGCATGTATATATATTTGTATGAATTGAAGTGCCTTTTATTCAAAAATCAGATTGATATTAATAAGACTATTGTATAGAAATTCCTTTTAGAATTGTTAAACATGGAATGAATGAATATTTATTGCTTTATTTAAACAAATACAATAAAAAAAACGCGGAAGATAAATATCATTTCTATAGAGCAGCCATTTCTTTCAATTTCGACATTTTTTCATAAACTTTTGTAAAATATTTGACAGAATGTCCTATTTTTGGTCTATAAAGTGTATCTACATAATGAAAAAGATGATTTAAAGAAAATTCAACATTTTTCATAATAAAAATTTTCGATTGTTTTTCATTCGTGTTCTGTAATTTTTGTAATGCACGTTCATAATATTT